TTTGTATGGTGTTATTTTTATATCTGGCACAATCTTTCAATTAGTCTTATATGAGTTATTTTGACACCATGAGAGTATGAGGTTATGCTGCTCATAATTTCTGTAATTCTTGTTGTATATAGTATAATCCTTGTTTTATATTGTATAATTTTTTGTTTAATATTGTGTAATCCTTGTTTTATATTGTATAATCCTTGTTTTATATTGTAGAGAGGTGATGTGGTGGAGGTGGAGGTAGATCAGATTGGAAAAGTAGTCAACAAAGTGGTGTAGCCTGTCAGCACATTCCAGGTGACCTTGAACTGTCACTGCTAATCAGAGATAATTCCTAAGTGATTATAATTTGCCATATGACCTATGCACATCTGTGTACATTATGGATAGATACATACTCAACATGATGGGATCTAAATTAATAATGTCTATGGGAGTACACGCAGAATCTTAATAATGTCTATGGGAGTACACGCAGAATCTAACCAAGTCAGTGCAATGCATCATGATAAACAGTTCAGGTGCTGTGTATGTAATAAAAATTAAATCAGGCCCATAGCGAGGTGGGGTTCGGGGGGTTCGAAAGAACCACCCTTTTTGCTGGAGAAAGGTCCACTCTTGGTAAAATTTGATCTATGTACTTGAGGATTTTATGGTAAAAGGTCCACTTTTTCAGAAAACGAACCTCCCCCTCTGAAATTGCTGGCTATGGGCCTGTAAATGCATGGTGATTTTTTCTTGTGTCAAAATAAAGTGATTTAAGTTGAGTGTAATTTAATTATTTTCATATCTTTTAAGATAGATTGTGTCAATTGTTTTAAATTGTTATTTCATAAGTATATCTGTACGGATATGCTGTATAATATGGTCATTTTGATAGGGATGTAACTCATTGTTAAATGTTTACACTTTAAAGTATATTCAAATTTGTAAAATGATCAGAATACATGATGTGTTAACTTGTTAAGTTGCAGTTTTTATTAAAGTTTGGAATATATTTGTCTGTAACAACGACTATGTACGTTATCATCATCCAAGGATTTGCAACTGTGGATAAAATGGTACAAATCGGATACTAGTTCGTTTATGTTTATTCTTTCCCTCCACAGCTTATTGTCAATATATATAGTTAGACATGTAGACAAGCATTGTGCCTTTTGTTCGTATATTAAAAAAACTACACCACATGTTACGTGTGTGGCAAAAAAACAGCTTTTAGTTTTTAGATGTATTTTAGAAATGGTTTACGAATTCGGAAGCTACATGTAGGTTCTGCCAGTCCCATTTCAATTTTCCGCTAAGTTGTCTATTAGTTTTAGGTCGCTTAAAACGCAGAGAATCCCCCGTCACATGTTTAATGCTTAAATGAATATCGATTTACCTTAACTCATTATCAAATACCACTGATAGTGATTCCGTTACTCATTTTCTGTAACTGGATGAAATGCCGAAAGTGAGATGCACGGTATGGACACTTTATATGATGAGATCCAGATAAGCTGCTGCTTTGTGTATTCTGTGCTCATTAAACGTATCAATATGACAGGCGGTATTAATACCCCACCTTTTACAAATATTTTACTTTTTCGCAAGTTTATAAAATAATTTTTAAAAAAGCATTGAAAAAATCAAGTACGTCAACATTTCATATTAAAATTTAGCTTCTTTATAAATGTTTTTTGCCGCTCTACAACCTGCTTCATGCTGAAGTATATAGAATTGGCCAAATCATGATAAAATGTTAATCCTGATTCAAAAACCATAAGTAACATTAAGGTGTTATTTTGCTCGCAAATAAGGTTGTTTAGGTTTAATTAAAAAACAAAATGCGACTTACATTAATCACTGTTAAAACAAACTTTCTTTTCGTTATTTTTAAACCGTTGAACAGACCTATTTTGACAAAATTTGATTTTCTACTCGACAGTTTTTTTGTACATGATTCGTAAGTGAACCGCAATTTAGTAATATGAAATATAATTAAATCCAACAATAGGGTTAGCAGTTCAATTTACAGTTGTTGTGTGTTTACCTATTGTAAGACCCGTTTTGGCAAGCATCCTGTGGCGTTTGTTTACTGCATCTTACATTCCAATTCCAATATAAATTAATGATTTTAAATAACTTGATGTAAAACATGCACGTCTTATATCAGCTGAAAACTTCAGAATCAACGTCCTTGGGGTTGTTGTTATTGTTCCCACTGTCACTGTTATTGTCTACATTGGATTCATTGGCAAGCTGTTCTTTCGTTTCCTCCAGAATTGCGCACTCCACACTGTCTGTCCTGGGCTTCCTGGGTCTCACAGACACCGGACTGTTGTCGACTTGCCGTTCCTCCAGCCATTTCATCACCCGCGTGTCTACAGGCGAGTCCGGTTCCTCCGCCGGCTTTTTCTCGGTCTGTAAGGACTGTAATAGTACCAAATTTTTCTCTGTCAAGGCTAAGGGGCCCTCCGTCCTAGGCAATCTGGAATTGTCATTATCATAATCCACGACGTATGTGTCTATAAAAGAGACGTTAGGACGGTCGTTAAATGTCACAGTTTTCGTCTCCTTTCCGGTGAACGCTATATTAGTCCTAGGCAAAGTTCGGTAAATGTTAAAAGTAGACGTCTGGTCATTTTTTCCGTCTGACTGACCAGTCCGTTTTGCCAACTCGTTTCCTTTACTTTCTACAAATCCTGTAGAATAGTTAACGCTATTTGCCGCGGCCAGCTCCTCGATGGGAGAGTTATTGAGGCGACGTTGTGAATTCGGAAAAGAACTGGACGAAATTCTCGCTGGTCTTAGTTCAAACCCATCGGACCGGTGCTGGCCGTGCGTCCTGGAGGTGACCAGACGCGACGTGGGTAAGGGATCCCTGCCTTCCGCCTCACGTCGCGCTACTTCTCCAGGTAGGGACGCTGAGCGTCTCAGTTCTCTGTTAAATCTCTGTCCTCTGTCTTTGTGGCTAGCAGAGTGTGGAACGGACCTGCCGTTAATGATAGGTGGAAACTGCTGTTCAGAGGACACGGACTTTGGGTGTCCTTTAGAATCGTGTAAATAGGTCTTGTTATGTCTCCAGCTGTTGAATTCCGCCACCGTGTGTGCTCTGCGCAGGACCTGGGGCACCGGCTTCTCCTTCACTTCCACCACCGCAATGCGTCCACCCGGCTGGACAGCGGCCATCATGTCAAAGTTGGGGTCAGAGGTAGACTTGTGAAGTTGCCGCTGAACCAGCCTTTTATACGCCCTTTCCTTGTTCATGATTGTCTCCTTATGATCGCGACCCCCCAGGTCTGCCGTTATCCACCAGTTAACACGACTGTCAGCGTCATCTTCTTCAACTTTTTTGATGAAAATCGCGTCGCTATCGCCGTGTGTTGAGTCAGTGTTGCCCCTGTGGTCTGTAAATGTTCACCTCCCATCAACAGGCTGCATGACTGAAACTGTTACAAAACGAAATTGAACAAAATCACAATAAACAAATTCTCTCGCACCTGTGAACATTTAATAAGGAAATCCAAGTTATAGCTCCCTCTGGTCTAAAGTTGAACAAACACTGCACGGAGACAATGCCAACATAAACACGGGGTCCTTTGATGGGAGCACATACGAAATGAACCTGTAAACTAAGTTCGTTTATGTATTTTGGAATTGACTGATAAGTGGAGATCAATGGGTTAAGAACCTGTGCTCATTATAAGAACTGCCTATTGATAAACTGTCAAAACTTTAACTTTTTTTCAACATTCAAGGTCAGTCTGATTAAATTGTATTTTTTAAGAAAAAAATGACCTACTAACGGTGTCAATTCGAATAACTAAAAATCTGAATTGCTTGCGCGTAAGCTAAATTATGTAGATTCTCTTTATGAAATCGACGGCCCCCACTTTCTCCCTCTCTCTCCTCTCTCTCTCTAACACACACACACACACACACACACACACACACACACGCAAACACACACACACATTTAATTGAAAAACCGACGTAACATTTACCAACCTTGCAATTTTATTAGTTTTGTCTGCCTGCCTTAGGATCGCACTGCCCCATGGAAATGAGTATGAATATCAAGCTGTCGCTTTAAATGCCTTGCTCAACAAATGACCTGCATTCCTGATCCATTCACCTTTAAGTTACCCCTCAAAGTGAAAACGTTTGTTGTTTTTTTGTCCCATGCTTGTCCCCCTTCAACGGGTACTTAACTGTTTAAATACAGATTGTCGCGAAACTTTGTTCCCACTGTGACAAATGGACTTGCTTTCAAAGTGTTTTATTCTTGTTAAAAATGCTTCCGTATCATGGCGTAACCTTAAAATAAATTTTGCTTTTGGAGTTGTTTGCTTATAAACGGGAGCACCATGCGTTAGTGTGTTAGCATTTGAATTGTGGAAAAAAAAATGGCGATAGTGATTTGAATATCAAAACAATGCGCGAGTTAGCGTTTCGACTCTGCATAGTCATCTAGCTGCAATTTCATTAAAACTTGGCACTGCCGTTGGTTTATCAAAACAGAAATACAAAACCATAAACTTTGATTTGACAAGTTCTAACACTGAGCAGAAATTGTTTTTGGCAAATTTTCGAAAAAAAAGCAGGTATCACATTCAACACGTTCTGGTGGATGAAATAAGTTAAAAGTGAGTGTTTCGACTATAAACTTATTTTCTTTTTGTGTCAGACTATGATATATTAAACTTATTTTAACTTTTGAATACCTAAATTATATACTCTACTTATGGCGCATGCAGTTAGTAAATTTTGTGTATGAATATAACGGCAATCAACCAAGGGACATTCCTACTATTTTCAAACTTTCTTTTAATAATTTTTTTCTCTTATTTTATTTCGTTTCAATTTATTTCATTTTATTTCCTTTCCCTTTTTTTTTCAGGGGCGCGAATAGTACTTGCAGTATTTGTTATTCAGAAGAGTATAATTTACAAACGGTGCGCAGTCTGCTTTCAATGCAAACGCTTAGTGAAGAGATTAAAACCCCTATTCAAATTGCCATTTACAGTTACACAAACTCTCTATACAGCCGAAACGCAAATTCCCATTGACTGCCGGTTGGTATTGTCCCCATACAACAACGGAGCGTGGCGGGTTTTATTGTTCAAAGAAGAAATTTGACCCTGAACGCTGCTGTATGATTTTCACGCAGAAATGATCAATTCCTTGGCAACAACAAACGGCCGCCATTACTGCTTCCTGTGAAAGGCAGCCATGGAGAGAAGATAATTCATAGAAGAAGAAGAGCTTCGTAGATCTATTATTAGGTGAGTATAGACAATAAGGGCCCTAACGACTGGTTTGTGTTGATTGATGGTCGGAGCGTAATTCTTATAGGTTCAATCTGACCATGAGACTTGCTTGGTAATGTAAGCGTAGACGTACCATGTAACCGGTACTGAAGTCTGATTGCCGAACAGTGATTTTAAAAGGTCTGTTCAGTGTTTGATCTGATTTTTATGTGATCGAAGCAATAAGATCGATAAATTTTACAGGTGGAGAATTACACAACTGACTTTGAACTGACCAGCGTATTGATACCTTGACGGTTCAATGACGCTAATAATTGACTTCTGAAACCCCTGTCTCCCTCTAAACCAATGTAATGTGTTGTGCTCTTTGAGGTGACCTTTTAAACTTAAAAGTTAAACTTTAAAGAATGGGGTTAAGTCTATTTCAATTCTTCAATAAACAACACGAATTTATATAACAGCTATGTTTTTGAACTGAAATAACAAAGAAGTAAATTACACGTGAAATTCTGTTGAAAAGAACAAAGACTGTGCGCAGGATGCTGCTAGGGAAAATGCAGTTAGTAACAGTTAAAAAGTAACAAACGCCGGTGGCAGGTGCAGGGGACTCGGCATCAGAGCAGGCATCTGCCATGGCTTTGGGGGAAGACTTTCAGCTTCCTCCCATAAATCTAGACAAGGTAGGAAAAGTAGTAATGTTACAAGTGGATTAAGTGCAATGTATAGGGTCTACGGTTACAAAAGCCATCTGCAAACGGTTTTTCTAAGGCTGCAGATTCAGATGTTTTGGACCAGTAGTAAGAGTCATAAATACACAGATCGACTTCACAAGTGAATCTGATACAACCTCTTGATCAGAACTAAGATTTCTACATGTTTTATACGAAAACCAGCGCATTGCACTCAGAAATCTCAATTGTGTCGGCAGATGATGTAATGCACTAAGTATATATTGTCTGTCACGCTTCCAAAGCCTCCGTTTTTAAGTTCAGTTTTGCTTTAATATACAAGAAAATTAGCGGACGTCAACAAGTGCATGCGGCCACATGTCACTGAATACAGTCTGCAATGAAAATTATGCATTTGAAGCTTTCTCCTCAGTTAGGATTAATTTTTTTATTTTAAATTAATTTTTGGAGCTCATTTTTTCCCTGAAATATTGGAGATTTTTCCCGTCCCTGTGAAGAGAAGGAGATGGGGTTTCTTCTACTCTTTTGCATTGCATGTATTTGAGTCCGCCTGAGTTTACTGGCGTTAGTGTTTGTGTTCCGAGTCCTAGGCAGACAGTGCAGTCCACTTCTTTCTAGTAGCATAAAATAGAGTCTCCTGAGCGTATTAGATGCACGTTATCTATTTGTCAGCGTCACTTAATGATTAATGTAAACTTCCGTCAAGATCCCTCTTCACTGATAGCTTGACATTTTTGTAAAATTGTTACCAATTGGCGGTTTCCAGGGCTGTTCGTTTGTTGGGACTGATGGAAATGGGCAGTGGGGGTCTGTCCCAGTTAATGTCATTGTCAACATTAGCGACAATGGGGGATGTCCATTTATGAACCTTGCGCCTTGGGATATATGTTTGCATTTCGATTATCCAATCGATACGTGTTTAACACTCGAGTCTCCCGTCTGATAACAGGATTAATGGTGCTGCTTGATAAACCCTGAACTTAAGCTTCAGTTTATAGTTACCGTGGATCGATAGGAAAACATTTTCCGGGACTCTTTTTTTCCCCTAAAACGAGAAGCAACATGAAGAAGGTAAGGCAGTAGGTTTGAATGACGAATTTTGTTTTTGATAAAAAAGCCTACAAAAGAAAACTTCAGCCAGAAGCGATGATATCCATTTACTTCATTTTCCTCTGGTGAGCTGTGAGGTTAAGAAGTTGAGGTTTAGATAGGTCATTGGGAAATACGGCGTAACGATCAATTAAAAAAGCCAGTCAGTCAGTGGTGTGCTAATGTTAAATATAGGCATTAGTTAGAATGGTTCAACAGACTGGTTTCAGCAATCTACATCTACGTAAGTTTAATATGACGGAAGATAGCAAATGTCAACCATGTTGTCGATTTTTCTTTCCACAGAAAATGTCGCTCCGCTGGGCCGACGAGATGGAGGACAACGGCTCCCTGTGGGAAGGTCTGGGGACCCTGCGGGAAGAGGACGACGGCAACGACGACCTTAGCCTGTCTCAGTCATCAGAGGAAGACGGTGCCCCGTCTCCAGTCTATCTGAAACGCTGGGGAGTCCCCATTAAGACTGGTTTTGAGGAGCTGGAGCCCCTGGTGTCCAGGGAGATGGAGCCCATGTTCTCAGCTCGCCTTGGGTCAGGTTATTACTTAGAGAGAGCGTCTAGTAGTGAATCAATAGCCACAGATCTGTCCTTACTGTCCTGTTCCTCTCTCGGAGTGAAAAAGGTCGAAAGAACTCGTAGAAAACAGTCTAAAAATCAGATCCGTGATACTGAAAATACGCACACTAAAACTAACTGGGACCAAATATCAGCCAATGAAAACAGTAGCCTGACGCAGATGGTGTTGAAGGACGCTTCTGCCATGCAGGGGGTCGGCGGAGGCGCGTCTGGCGGTGCTTTTAGTTTGTGGAACATGACACGCGCCATTGAAGCTTTAAATGAAGCGGAGCGCAAGCTTATCTTAAAGACATATCATACCAGGGGGATAATGGGGGTTGTCAAAAGTTACAGCACCACCGACGTCAGAGAAAGTGGCACTTACACCCCAGTAAAGTTGAGACAACAGAAGACACTTGAACAAAAAGCGACGCGAACCCAGTCCGCTTCGTCAGACCGCAGACCCTCCCGCGTCTCCATTAGGGAGTGTCCAAGCTCTGCAGGGTCGCATCTGCCTGGCATCGGTCAGGCGTCCACCCGCGGAGGAAGTGGGGCGTCTAGGACTTCCGCTGACCAAAGATTGGTCAGTGCAAAGAAAGTTTTCAGAAACTTCAGCAGAATGAGCTCAAAAATGAGACGTAAAATACTGAACACTTTGGCAGACTTGGACCATAACACAGGGTACGGTGACACACATCACGCTTCCATGGAAACGATGAAAGATCCGTCTGCGTTTCTTCGCATTGAAGACGACTTCCAGAAACTTCCGCGCATGCCCCAGAGGATACGCATAGCGCCACAGCTAGCTAAAGTAATCAAAGACGACATCAGAGACAGAATAGGGAAACCTAGATATACCGAAATCAAAGAAACACTCTTACAAAGATTCAATAAAAATTTGGACCAGAACGAGCGAACTCAGAGAAATTTGATGATATTTAACTGGCTTCAGAATTTGGACGAGAAAAACTTTGAACCTATGGAACCAGAAAGAAATCCCGAGCTCCGTATGCAAATGTATGGAGTTACAACAACAGTTCAATGACCTGAATTACAAAACGTTTTTGTCTTCTTTCTACCTTTACTTAGAAATAGGAAAATTTTATCTTGGGGGGACTAAGGAAACATTTCATCATGTTAAGTGCTGAAGAAAAATGAACATCAGTTATCGAAACATTTACATTTGGACGAGTATTATTCAATGCTCTCCGTGCATATTATGACGTATTTCCATCCTTTCCTTTGTTGACTTTTCAATCAAATAGCCTCTGGCGTTCTTTTCCTGTTTTCGGGATAAGCAGTTACATGTTTTGGTGTCAAGTCAATTGGATCGGTGCTTGGTCATGTAAAAACCAATCGATTGCTCAAACAAGGTTGATTTTTTTACACACCATTTTCATGCAACTTGAATGCTCACATTTGGTGCTTTTTTGCGGTTCAAGACAATGTCACAAAGCGCAATATGAATAAATTTTTAATATTAAATCACACCAGTTTTGGTTAATGTTATTGCATTTACCGTCACGTATGCTCGATTTATTTAAAACTTGAACATAAGAAGAATGAAACTCATGTTTTATCTTAAAAGGTGGCCTCTAAAAAGGAAACAGAGACAATACCATCTTTTTGTTACATTTTTATACTTTAGACAAAAAAGAATTGAAAGAACCATGTAGAAGATAACTGTTTTGCTATACAAAGTAAACCGTACGAACGTTAATCGTAATTATAATTTTTAAAACATTTTGGCAATGGACAGTTTCAAAAACAAATAGAAAACAAGATTCAACTAATTGCTAAATTTAAAAAATCAACTTGTTCGTCGGCCGGCGTTCATTTAATGGCGACAGTAAATGGAACACACTGTACCCGGTTTTAAAAAAATCCTTTTAATATGGGCGGCCCATGCAGTGCAAGGTTCTCGTTATAGGAATATACACAAAGAGATTGTAGTATGTTATTTTGTCCTAAAAATCATTTGAAAAAAAAAAAAACGTTTTATTTTCAAGAGCGTTAATCTGCAGCTAATGTTTTGTTCCAAATGTAGTGTTGGAATGCACATGCTGCAGTTTTCAGGTGTCTCCGGATATTAAAGTAAACCGTAGCTATTTAGATAGCAAACAGGGTATCAACATGCTAATTTGTACTTAATCGACATTCTTTAATTCCTGCAAATTGAATTTAAAAGAAAATTCCTCGCGAAAATTGGCGAATGAATAGGCCTTTCACACAATGAAATTGAGTTGGGATGATTTTTTTGGGAGGAGTCAAATTTAACTTGTGCCCAAACAATCATAAATACAAAACTAAAGAGTGATCTAAACAGGAGGTCAGAAAACAAATTTTCCTTTTTTTTTGGCGTCAAGTAATTGCTCAACACCACTCACCTACACTATCCCTTCAATGTAACCTAAAAGTAAATCAAAATATGATTAATACTTACATTTTACAATTTACAAGCACCTAATTAATTGGTTAAATTATTTTGGGCTGTTTGTTATTTTAAAGCTGTACACAGGACGTCATAACATCGTCACCGGCATCGTAACACAGAGGTAACCGTAGGCCATTTCATCAATGGAAACTATAGGACCAATTCTTCGATCTCATTATTAGTTGTGCTAAGCTGGTATTGAATTGAGCCCATGTTACACGCATTCTTAAGTCAGCATAAACAATTCTTAAGTTTATATTAGTGCTGTCACGGGTCTTGTAACTTTCCATGCACGAGAGCGTCCTTTACGTCACATCACGCTGCGTTGTACGATAATGGGCATTTTTCATTTGCTTTAATACTGTATGACTTATAGCCTGCGCTTCAATTTACTGCAAACCGTTCCTGAGTGCCGACTGAGTCATTTGTCATCCGTGAGCTGAATTGTGTTCTCTGTCCACCCGGTAATTTGTCCCTGGATGTTTCTGTTAATGGATAGTTTACAGACAGCGAGGTACGCGTGAAGTGTTGTCAGTCCTGGATATTACTTGGATGACTTAGGCCGGTCATGGCGCTTCCTCGCATACGACAGGGCTCCCCATGCCTGATACAGGCGCACTGGGACGGACAGAGTGACCAGGAGAATAATAACACCACTGACTGGAAGAAGAACTCGTATTCGCTCTCAAATAGTCTTAACCTTCCGACCCCATCTGATTCCATGCTAACCGCTTGTCCAGCGAAGTTAGGGACACGGTGTTTGTCCACGCCTTCGGTTTTTATACAGGAACGCTGCAATTCTCCACTTCTCCGTGCACGGCGTGATGAGCATGGTTCAAAGCAGTCCTCTCTGGCAGACAATCAAAAGTCTTTTTCTGGTCTTCTTCCTCTTATTCGAGTCACAAATTCCGACTGCGACCTTCGTGATTCTCAGAAATTTTCAGAAATTCGGGACTCGAAAGAAAGGTTGACAATGCCCGCTGTGGCCTCAGGGGCCCACCCCCTCTGTCTAAGGAGGGCAAGGAGCCAGGAAAACCCGCGGCAACTGGGTGGCTGCGGAAAGCAGTTTTATTCTCCTCGGTTGTCGAGGAAGACTGTATTGAATACCAGTATTACGACGGATATATTTAGAAAACAGGGGGAGAAAGTTTTGAGTTTTGAAAGAGAGAATTCTGATGAGGCAGATGCACAAACATCGTCAGGTATGCAGCTCAGTGTTTCCTATATTCGTTTCACCATAACCGAAAAAAATATGTTACTGTTCAATTTATTTTGATCAAGTTAAAAACCCCATTACTGATAAAATTGAGTAACTATTCACTTAAAAATCCCCATTTCTGATAACATAGAGTAACTTTTCACTTAATTTTAATAAAGTTGAAAATCACTTAAATAATTGTACCGAAATAAAAATGTCAAAAGCATTAAAGATAACATAAAAGATTTTGAAGGTTTTGTTAAAATTGCAGTCACAAAGCTGGTGAGGTCTTTGGGCACACGATAAATAATCTGGGTATTTAAATTATTTAAAGTCCATTGTAATTTTCCAATAAAAGCCACATGCTACACTACAATAAAGATATGATTTACAAGATAGCCCCTTAACCTAGATTTACACATTTGACAGGCGAATATTTACTACATTACATTTCCAATAGGCATTATAAAGAAGGTAACTTCATGCTTAAATAGCTATTGCTTTAGCAATAAGTCTTTTTATCAAGCAATGACCCAATCCTCAAATCACTTTTGAAAATGCAGCATAAGATGAATTGTCAACCTGAACACACAAAAAATTAGTAGAACAATAAAAGTTTGAAACTCGTGTTTATTTTCATAATCTCGTGTCTTTTGTTTGAATTGATGTATTGATCGATCGCTGTGGGATCAAACTGATATCGATTAGCATGCAGTTGTTTAGCAAAGCTGTGCCACACTAAGTAACTTAACACAATGCCGTGTATAATTGGTGCCTATTAGGGCCTATATATAACTTAACGGCACCCGGGGGTGGCTTATATAATTTCCTAATTGGCGGTGCATCAGTAAAACAACTGTGTATTTAATTGAAATAAGTCGATGTCAGCCTGATATGTTCAACCGCAGGTATCCTGTCGCAATCAATAGGTGTGAGTTAACACCTGGATTATTGTGAAGATGTTCAGGCTATGAACCCGTGCCTACGGACCTGTTACATAGCATATTCATGATATTTATGAGAACAAGAGGCCTATGATTTTAAATCCATGTTTCCTCCTATTTCAAGGACAATGAAATTGGTCAGGCCCAGTCAAGTTTACGATGTTTACATAGCATTGTGGCGATATTACTCAAGCTACCAATAAAACAGCCATGCACTCCATTTAGTTCAATCAGTTGCTATCAAAGTGACTTATTATAGCCTTCTGCGTGCACTTGCTCTTCATTTGACTATTGGCTATCACTATTTAGTTGATTAGGTTTATTTTTCAGCGGAGGATTTCCGTTGCAGGGAACCGCGCTGATCAAGAAGTGTTGTTTGATCGATAACCTGCCTTCACTCCTGTCTGTGGTTCCTGTGCTGAATATATAATCTCCGTGATTGAGAGGGTGGAATCTCAGGATGTGAATCAATAATACGCTTTTTCCATCCGGGGTGTTAATTAATAACGCTGTTACCTTACATACCTTTCTATATTATACCTCATCTAAAATTTCCCGATCATTTCCTGTTGTCAACAATTTTTTTTCATTTACAAGTTTTTAGCATTTAAACCGAAAAGATATCTTAAAATATTATCCTGAAGTTTACGCCATATTTGTGTATGCCACAAACATGTCTAAATAAAATAATTTAAATTTAGTTATTAAGGAGATAAATACAATTGAAACAATATATCGATGTGTAAACTGTACTTAAACGCTTACAAATATAGGCTCTAAAATAAAAGACATTCAGAAACTTAACAATGACGATAACAGATAAATCTTCAGAAGCCAGGTTTCATTAAGATATAATAGACAGCCAGCATTCTAGACGTTCTGGTAAAAGATGCTCGTTATCCAATATCCGCTGTCTGACAATTATTTCAATGTGTTATTCTGTAAACTGACAACCGAATTGATTGTCATGCTAGGGTAATATGCATGTAGCTAACATGAAGTAATATGTTGCATTAAGCTCTAATAACCCCTTGTTTCCAAGTCTTTTTAATTGATTTTATTTTTATTTCCACTTAACACTTAAGTATTACCATATAAAGAAGGGATTGCTAGGCAATAAACTTGTCGCAAACGACAAAACACACAATAACCTGAATACATACAGATATATTTGAAGACATATTTCCCACATATTGGTTAAGAGTGTTGTCATTCTTATTTTCCATCCTTAGAGCAATATCAGCATGGTAGCACCGGTTTGCATTTGTTCTACTGGAAACATTGTTTACAACACCTCTAATATAGGCCTACTTAAATTCGGTCTCCAGCATGTTTCCATTATCTATTTATATTTAACCTTTGGAACCCACGCCATTATCAGTTTTCATTCATGATTTATTGGAAGGACACCCGCATATTAATTTGTTTGTGTTTATCTGTTATTAGGTGTCATTGTTAATTTATATTTTCTACAGATCCAGCAGAGAAAAAAGCGGCGTCCTCTTTTTATCTTGGAGACAGCGTAGAAAGCCTGGAGTCACGTGAGGAACGGTATTCTTTGTCGTCTGCAGGAAGTTCTAGACAAACAGAAAGTCTAGAGTCACAAAGCGATCGTAACTCCTTGTCGTCTTGTGGAAGTTCTAGAAACCAGTCTCAGATGGACAGAGCCGATAGTGAAAAGACAGAACAATATGGTAATAGGCCAATCATAGATTCCCACTATGAAGGACACCGTCTTCAAGAATGCGAAAATTTAAACGACAGCTGAGCATGTATTTGAGACTTTGTTTCTTATAATGATACATACAGGAAGGGGCCCCAGTGATATCTTCTTTTAAAAGACTGATTTTAAGCAATGTGAATGAAATGATGTAGAGAAAATCTGTTTCTTTCTTTCTTTTCTTTTTTTTTTATTATTACACAGAATTCTCAAAGGTTAATGAGAAAAGGTGGCCTGTTGTTCTATTTTCACGTATAGCTAGGATGTAGGTTGGCAAAGAATCACTACCACTGCACGGAATGTTTTATGGAAATACGTGTAGAAATGGAAGGGCAAACTGAGAATCAAATTGTCTCATTATAGAATCATATATCATTTGAATGTCTGTCAAGTGACAAAGCTGCCATGTTTTGGCAATCATTTTTTTTTTCAAAATTGTTTTTTTTTCTGTGTATCTCCCTTACAGAAATGGAAATAAGACTAAAGTCACAGTTGCTAGCAAATGGTACTTGATAATGTGGAATAAATATCAAGGTTAACGACCAATAACTCCCTAACATGTATGGAAAAATAAACTACAGACTTGACATTTAATATGGAATATTTCAGTTTTAAAGGTATACCCAGGTAAAAATGAGTTCTTTATCGAAAAATCTCAGATCTCATATAAGATATCTGACTAGGGAAGTGTGAAGACAGGTGTGTCTCTACCAATTAACTGATTACCAAGTTTGATGCATTGCTGCATTGTGTAATGTGCAATGATTTAATTGGGTAGTGCTCCTTTGGGCTGGCCAAAGCTTGGCTTTGGCGGGGCAGGGTTATGTCAAAAATGTATCCATATGTCGGCAACCATTGCATAGAAGAATTTGAAATTTTGCATGCAAGTGGTCGGTTTTGCAGTGCGTAAAATGAGTTAAGCGTTGTTTATCAAAATCGTTTAGCTGTGCCACAATGGCGCGAAAAAGAAAGACATTGCCAGACAGATTATTGCCCCAAACGGAGCTGCCCGCACAGTTTCATAGAGTAATACCCAGGGTTATGTACCCACACAGACAACACGTCCAATGTATCGATATCTTACCAAAAGGATACAGGACTCAATGTTCCTCAGGAAATGCTGCTACAATTAAACCCAAACCACCTAGTCCGTTTTAAATGAGGGGCAAATTGTCACCAAAACGCGTATTTCAAGGCGCTAAGCGAAGACCAAAATGGTTTCAGCAGGTTAGGATATTAGGTGACCTCTGAGGAAGCCACTGTAAACAGCAAAACAGCGTAGTCTGTTTCTCTAATGAATTGGGGACCATGACCGTTTCTGGGCAGAATACTGAAATCGCGTTGTTTTCTTTATTGAGGTCAGATTTCACCTGTACCGCTAAATTGGTCAAAAAAGAGTTTACAGACATCCTGAAGAGACCTACGACAAGGTGTGTGCCTCTTCTGAAGTGACTAGGACCATTGACAGCGTCAATATTTGGAGTTGATACCACATCGGTGCCAAAACACCAATGGAAGTCATCGATGAAAACCTGAACCAGAACAAATAAAGGAATAATCTGGGAACCACTTGAATATCATTTGATAGGGGGCACCTTAGGAACAGTTTTAGGTTGCACGATCAGATTGCTGGTTCACACAGAGAACTTTTTATAGCAGATAACGTACAGAACCAAATGAATAAGCAGCTGCCTTGGTCATCAAAATCGCCATATTTGAACCACTTTGACAATATGTGGTTCGGTCAATAGTCGCTGAATCAACGGCCTGCATGTCCTACAACAAAACTGAACCAAATTGGACAAGTTTTAACCGTTGCCTGGAATTTTATTCCGGATTAAATTCTAAAAAACTATCGCAAAAAATGCCTTGCCTCTTGAAAGCTCTGGTAGCAGGAAGATAAGGTCAGGCATAGCAGCGACTGTTACTGTGACTAGACACTGACATGAGGGTCCTTTGTGGGTCGTGTAAGTCTTTTAAAGACGATAATTTGGAAGATATGGAGATCCAAAATATCGCTTTCAATGGTTGTCGTATGACTTAAAATTGGCAATGCATTTTTGTTTGCTTCACTGGCGAAGTCAATTAAAGAACTGATGTCGCAATGACATGGAACATTTTATCAAAAGTTATTAAAACACGATTTTAATCCTTATTTTTATTTATTAGTCTGCAAAATAGGAAAAAAAAACTGAGGAATGATGATTTAGAAAAATTATTCCATATTAAATGTCAAGTCTGTACATTATAAAAAAGAACTTGAACGGCAGAAAATGCTTTTATTGACTTTCCGTAACACATAGAATTAAAGAAAATTTGCATGGAACAACCACACATAAATTGGCACAACCACAGATATAGCACATCTTAGTTCATCACGCTTTATATATATATAAATAATACTGAATAAAGTTGAATGTTACAAATGATGGCCGTGAAGTGATCGGAAGCTTAATAAAATGTCGATATATTTCTTTCATGCAGTGAATATCAACATGAACTTGGTGGGTGTGCTTGAAATGGCGTTGACATCGTTTAATTAAACCCTTAATGGACAGAAATACATAAGTTCGGTGCAAGTTCCAAAATCAAATATACCTTACAAAATACTTTTTATATGTTAACTTGGCTTAATCTTAATAAACGTTTGCATGTTTTTTCCCCATTCATTCATGTAAAAAGACATTCTTTTCATTTCGTACTGCAATGTAACATTTCCTACAAATATAAAAACAATTAAAGACGCCATATCCCCATGAATGGTTCTTTCAGTGTTAACAGACAAAAACTAATTTTCTACACGATACAATGCTACAGCATTGGTGGGATCGGCGGGTATAGGTGTTTGGAGCCACATCCAAGGCCCAAACTTGTTTTTAACGACGAGTTTTTTTATCAGTATGTTAAGGAAGATTAAAGTCAATGTTAATCCTTTGTTGTTTCCGTGATTGAATCACATCACTTTTTATGCGATTTCCTGACAAATCTGCCACGTTTGTGTACCTTTCTAAGCCATAAAACAGTAGAAAATCAACCAAACCAAGGGCTGATTTGGCAAATACGTCTCCATTCTGTTTGAAGTATCTTTGTGCGTCGTATTAATGTCTTCGTATCTTAATGCAGCAAATGAGAGTTGTTCTAGAAGTATGTTATGGCATATCAGGCTTGGTTCCCTCGGCACGTTTCAGCCACTGCCATACGGAGTCGTTTTTATCTTGAGGGAGATACGGCGACTTGGCCGAGTCAGGGACGTGGGTCGTTTCCACTTCATTCGCCTTTTGTACTACCTCTAGTTCCCTTGGAGTAATATCCTTTCTAGTGTCTGTATCACGGTGCTTGAGATTCATCCTCTTCGTGCGCAAGATAATATGATTTAATTGAGCCTCGTTTTTGCTGTGTCTACCCAGTTCTGGTCCGTGTTTAACACTGCCATTTGGGTGGAATTGCACGTGCGTGTAACCTCGCGAAAGTGTCAGTACTCGCGTGGGCGCACACGAATTTACTGTCAAAGCGTTAATACTGGAATGTCTGTTGAAACTCATCCTTGCTATTACAGCTCTACTGGACAACCTTGGGTGAGAGAAAATCTTCGTTCATGCTGTCTCTGTGATTTCAAAGTTCAATAAGTTAAAATGTCTTCGTTTCCAAGCGATTACCTGCCTTGCGACACAAGGATTAAATTAATATCGCAAAGTGCAATATTCTAGTAATCAAACCATATGTGCAACTCGTTTTGCTGAGCGCCATCTTACATAGTTTTTCGGTGGGAACGAAAGCTTCCTTGCTTCTCTTACACTGCTTCCAACTGCTCAGTTATGTGTCCAATACGGCCATATTTTGGTGGTGCAACTCCTCTCCGCTGTTTATTAATGGCGTTACAGAGCGTCTTTTACCTCATGGTGGTATCAAACTTGAAGGCAAATCTTAGTTCACATCTGACCCACGGGGATCGCGAAGGATCAGCACGAATCATGCGCAAAATTGAGTAAACAAATCTGAATCAATTCTTTTCTTTCTGTGGCTATAATATTGGTTTAGTTTTCTCCTTTTATTTCTTCCTCTACAACGACCCAAGGTGAAAGCACAGCGTGTGAAAGGGCAGCTAGTGTGCGCAGCCTTTGGTAAACACGGACTATACAACTTAGTGTAGAAATTAAAATATTATGAAAAGTTTATTAAGCGAAGTGTTTATTGTTCGCAATCTATTGCCACTTGTTTACGTGTTACAACAGGCAGGGCAGAGCACATTAAAGAGCCCTACCGACAGGTGGAATGTTGCTAGGGATGGAGACTTGTCGTCAGTGCTTCGTCACAATGAAGGGGGATTAAAGCGTCTTATGTAATATATTATTCATAACACATTGGATTAAAATAGTGCAATTTAGTTTTCAAGTAAAAAAAAAACGCGTTTATATTATATTTTTGAAAGCGTTAACATTCTGAAAAGAAACTTTTTTCATTCAGACGATCAAAATGAAGTCATACTCTTTAGTAACTATGTTATATGTTCTTTATTGTGAATATTTATTATAATTTTCATTTTACAAAAATGACATTTTCATTGTACTGTTTAATCAATCATTAATTATAAAAATATTCATTTGATGGGCTTGGAATCAATAATGCTTTGAGATACGCTTCTCCTCTAACACAATTGTTACTTTAACAACGTCACTGGAGGGTTCATAAACACATTAATTTACTTTTTAGTGGAAGGTAAAGAATATTACTTTTTTCAAGAATCTATAACGCTAGAAATGCCTTTTGACATCAGTTGTGTAAAGGCGTTCAGTGGCGTTTTTGCACATGCAAGATTGATCAAATTATATAATTAAAATATTAGTGACAGGCATTTAGGTGTTTGAGTAGGAAATGATTTCACTTTGTTGTTCGATTTGAACGAAGATAAAAAGGCAAACCCTATTACGATATATGTAGGGTTTGCACATTATCTATATCAACCTGATGATAAATATCCTTTTCAGCAAGTGCTCTTCTATATTTCTAAACAAATAATTTATTTAGAGATTGTCTCTGGAAAGCAACAA